AAAAGAATAAATATTTTAACATCTGGCTTTTCCTTACGTGATTTGCCCTTCTGTTTTCCTGCAACTTTCTTAATCTTAGAGCCCAAAATAACCTAGACTTTTCTGCTCTTACCCAGTACAAACTTACAACTCTAGACAGTTTAAAACCCAACAACTAAACAGCATCTGCAGTTCTGGGACAATTTTCAACGCATGGCTAGGGGCATGCTGCTAGGAGTATGGCTTTTTCTCCATACTCTTAGATTAATATAGCTTGTTAAGATTACTTTCTCCAAAAACTGCCTCAAATTAAAAATTACATTTTTTAAAGGAGTTCCAAGGAGATTCCGCTTGATCTGTTACATGGATTCAGGATAGGGGGTCAAATATGAGTATGTGTCCGACACGGGTACTCCGTGTTTTTGGAATTTTTTTACATTAATTTTGAGGATCCCAGCATCATGCCTACATGAATTTAAAGTGTCCAGTCCGAAATGGGCACATTATGGTAAAGTGAAGAATCCTATGTAATATATTGATAAGTAAGGAACTCTAGGTGTACCTGAAGTCCTCATCTAGCACTGGTGATAACTAGAGCTACTCATCCTTGAAGTATTATTAAAACTGGAGTACAAAAGAGAGTATTTCAACCTTAAGTATCCTTAACGATGTAGTAAAAAAATTTTGACTGGTCAAAGAACACCAAGGATGTACTTAACAAAACACACAAATTACAAGGAAAGAATAGGCAGCTTTTAAATTATATCCCCAACCGGGTAAGAACCAGTTTCTTCTATTATAAACTCAAAGACTCTCCTCCTTCTTTAGCCTTCTAAAGGTTGATTAGGCCCTTGATCACCAGCAGAAAACTACTTATTGTTAACCAGCAGAATGTCTAGTAAAGACTGCTTAAACCAATCTGTTGCCCCACAAATTAAAAGGTATACTCCTGCTTGAGTTAGTGGTTCAACTCACCAACCATCACTGCATAAGCAATTTTCTTGAAAATAAAATAAAATAAAATAACCTTAACTCATCATGCTACCCAACGTATGCCAGCATACTTAGAACAGCATAACCAACTAGCCTAGCTAAAGTTAAGCCTCAAGAATCAATTTCAACAACATCGACATATAAACTAGGTGAACATAACACAACAACTTCATATAATAATATAATATGAAAATTTCAATCCCTTTGGTATGAGAATTTCTCCTCATCTGCAAGAAAGCCTTGAGCTGGCACTCTCAGTATTCAGTCAGCCAAGGGTATGCACATAATTTCTTGATTAAGCTAGCATCTAAGTATTCAGCCTCTACCAGACATTGTTCACCTCTGTTTTTTATTTCATAAATTAAGTTGTTACCAACCAAAAGGAAAGTTATAACTGAAAAGGAACATTTGAATATTACATATCGAAGTACCAAAAGGCGGTTTAAACATACTTTGTTTCAATTTTTACATAAAATCCATAAAATATAAGATGGTTTCATCCCAATGGCCTCTCTCATACATGTACCAGATCAGCATATGCTTTCCTAAAGAGGAACATATATGACACCTAGTCAACCCATTTTTTGAGCAAATAAATTAGCTCATCAACTAGGGCATTTCATTAAACAGGTAGGGATTCACCTATGACGAGACTAATACTTAAAGTAACAATAAATCATTTACGTACACAAATGACTGTAGGATTGACAAACAAGCAGTCAAATTACTATGAAGCTCCTCTTCGGCTCATGCTTCAAGAAAGCCAATCTGTAAGAGCTACTTTAGCCCATGAGAACAGGAGTGCCAGTGCCATTTCCTTTTCATTCAGAAATATATATATGGTAAAAATCACATTCCCTCATGTGAAAAATAAAACCATTTACAGGTGCCGTTAAATTAATATTAGGGGTACTCAAGTGTTAACAATAACTACAACTTTTAAAGCCAATTATGCTTACACTCAAGTTGTGCCACATAAATTAGGAGTAATAGAGAGGCCTCCGAATATACAGCCTTTGAGAAATGTTTTCTGCATGATTTGGGTTCAGCATAAATTTATGAAAAGATGAAGAGTGGATTATTAAATATCCTAAAACTTCATCCCATGCTTTAATAGGATAAATTTTCAATGACAATAGATCAGCAAGTGCAGGTAAATTGCGCCATTTAGCAAGAGCATTCTAGTCCGAGAAGATATTTAACATTACATTAGAAAATTAATACTAGTACTTAATTAAAGGCATAACTTGGCAACCACTTAGCAGAGTTGAGGCCCACGAGAATCAGTTAACCATTTCATTGAAGGCATCTAGTCTAGAATATGAATACGAATATATATAACCTGATCAATACGAAGAAATCGCATACCTTGGAAGATCACAGCCATCAGGCTTCCAACGCCATCCCAAGTAATCAGAATCTTGCCTTCCGTTGCTTTGGCAATCAAAAGCCTCATCAACATAAGGGCAAGAACCCGGTTTATAAACAGGGTACTCTTCGTCTTTCACCCAAGTTCCGGTGTAAAGATCACACATTTCCCTCTTCTCTTCACCATTGTCAACAACAGCTTCGTTATCTGCAGGTGGGTTCTGCTCGTCATGGGCAGAAGGCTGATCATCGATGCTTGAGCCATTTGAGGAAGGGCCTAGCTCGTCAGCTTGAGAAATACTAGGAGGAATGGACTGGTTGGTTGATGAGTTCAGTGGGTCTGGGTCGGAGGAGCGAAGTTGGGATTTGATGAGCGGAAAGGACTGTTGGTAGATAGAAAGGGAGGGTTCAAGCGTACGTCTGCTGAAAAGAAATAGGCTAAGGACGAACAACACAATGAACAAAACGGTGGTCAATGTGTAACGGGTTTTTTGAGGGATGGATACGCCCATTTGTATTTGGAATTGGTGGATAGAGATTGCATCTTCTGTGTCCTTTCTTCCCTGTTTATCGACAGACAGCCTCACTGCCTACAGCATCTGGAAGAAACCAACTTTGCGTGTGGCTTGGCTTCCGCATCGCGAGAAAAAACCGAACCAAAACCCGTTCAGTTCGGTTCGAATGGAAGTTTTGTTTCTTATATTCGGTTTAGGTTTCTGTCCACGTTCGAAGGACGAGCCACTTGCTATTGGGATATAATTCAATTATAATTTTAATTATTTTTTATATTATTTTTTAGTTTTTATAAAATAAAATTAAAATATTTTATTAATACATTTAAGTAAATAAATTAAAATTCGTACTAAAAAACATAAAAAATTTTAAATTTTAAAAATTAAAAAATCAATCGATGTTAAATTTACAAAATTCAATCCAAATTAATTATAAAAATTATTTGGTTTCATATATGAAAATCAAAAAATTTTAAATTAATCAATTTTTTTTCAAAGTAGAGTTGAAACCAAATTGGACTACATTCATATTTCACTCCAACAAAAAAAAACAAGTTTTACCAATAGAATTTTAAGTTCTGTCAGTAATTATCAATAGAATACCAACAAAAACAAACAATAATAGTTATTAATAGAATATTGACAAAACATACAGATTGAATGAATTCCACCGATATTCAATTGGTAAAACAAAGGTGCGCAATGTAGACATATGGCACAAAATTTATCAACGAAATATTCAAGCAATAATGTTTTCCTCAACATATTTTACCAACCACATTATTGACAGAATGATTGGTCGATAATTTCATTCAATTGCTAACAAAATTTATAATGAAAATTTTTGTTGGTAATTTCGTCAATAAAATAAATTAAAATTCCTTTGCTTAGGCCTCCCCCCCCCCCCCCCCTTTCATTCCTTTCTCCCTACTCCTTTTGACTCTCTTGCTCCTTGACCCTCGACCCCACTCCCCCTAACCTCACCTTGTTTGGAGCTTTTCGGAGAAATGCCAACGACCAGCCCAACCTTTTACTAGTCTTACCCATTGTCCCTTTCCCTCGATCTGCTCCCTTTTGTCTAGTCCTTATGCATCCCATTTTCCCTCTTTCTCGTTCGACATCCAACCAGCCTGTCCAACTAGCATAGCCTCCCCTTCTTGAATATTTGAGGAGTTTCTATTGGTTATTTGCTTGATTTGATTTATTGCTTGTAGGGATTTGATTTATTGCTTCTATGGTTTTGATTTGTTGTTGTTTTGGTTATTTGATGTCTAGGTTTTTGTTGTTTTGATATGATTTGTTTAGATGTCTTGAACAATCTAATTGTGGGTTATTTTATTCTGGGTTGTTTGCTTCTTTAGTTGGTAAATATGACGATTGTTGTTGATTGTGGGTTATTTTCTTAAACAGTTTTTGAACAACTTACTCATATGAAAATTTGTTGGGTCATTTAGTTGTTTCTTGAACAATTTTCGAACAACTTAAGTTTTTCAAAATCTATGGGGTTATTTGGCTATTGGCAGAGATTAATTTAACTAATTTTTAGGATTTAAACAAATTAAATTAGGATTTTGGTGTTGAGGGTTTAGGAAAGATTGTTTATGGAAAGAAATTGTTACAACAAAAATGACTACGATCGCCATGCCCTTCTTCCCAATTTTGATATGTCTCGTAAATGTTTTATTCTTTGGAAAAATATAATTTCTTCTTTATCGCCTACAAATAAATTCTTTTTGCAAACTACTTCTAATATGGGAATAAATGTTGACGATGGGAACCTATTTTGTTTTAGCAAGATCAAAGGATTGATGGGTTGATTTTGCATAATGAATTTTCACGTATGTATACCTTATCTATGAATAAAATTGGTGTGTTATGTGAGTTTGGACAATGAAAGATTCTAAATGGCAATGGTGCATTGAGTAAAGGCGTAATTTGTTTGGTTGGGAAGTCTAATAATGAACAGATTTAATTGTTTCTCTTTTATTTACTATGAATACGTATATTTTTACTTATTCAAATATGCTCTTAATGTTTTTGATTGCCCAACCAGTGATTAACTGATTTGTAAATCTAATTAAGACTTGATAGAGAAAATTTAGATTGGATTAAGATTTAAATAGTACATGTTTATGTCACTTAGGTGATCTTATTCGTGATTAGGGTAGACATATGTCAATTACCATACATAGCCAAATTAGAACAACAGCTTAATAAACCTTATTTAATTTATTACTATAAATATATAGTGATCTAATTAAGTTAGGTATTTATGCAAGCATCTCGAAAGAAACTTGTACATAACTTTGAATTCGAAGCTAGTAAAACAACAAATGAATATAATAATAAGAGACCCTAGTGTCAAATGAAGTGTTGAATGAACTCATAATTCTATGTTTTAGTTTATTATTTTTCTCAATTGAATTTTTAGTTTATTTTAATTTATTTAGTGTTTGTTTAATTTAGTTTTAATTAATTTTTTACAAAATCAAGTTACTTGAATAAGATTAGTTTGTCATAATTTTAATACTTAGTAAATAAGTTAACAGCAAATCTTTATGGGATATGATTCTAGATTTACTGTCTATATTTTTTGTTCAATAGGTATACTTACGTGTACTAAATCAACAACAAGTGTAGGTTTTAATAGTGATTTTTTTGCACTTAATTTTTTACTAGAATTTTCAATCACAACATCCTTTTCAGCATTTTTTTCGACGTCAATTTCACTTTATTTTCTAGCAGACTTATTCAAATTTTTTGATTTAAAATCACTACTACTTACCTCTTTTTCCATTTTTGAGGTGTGATTGCATTGTAATTTCTTAGATTGGATTCAATGTCACTAGGTAACATACCTTGAGGCCTACTATTGATGGCTTTAGCTAACTGACCCAATTGTGTCTCAAGATTTCATATTGATTGAAGATGGTATAAATACCCTTTATGGTAATTTTAACCAAAATTAAAGTTTATATAATTTATTTTGTCAAACAACTTATTAAACAATTTTAGCTTAATTTTAAAAACTATTATTTTTTACAAGAGCTTCATTAAGCTAAAAAAAAAAAAAAGCCAAACAAACTCTTAGTACATCAAGCCTTATTTGTTATTTCCTTTGACGAGACCTAACATAATCATTTTTTATAATCCATGACTATCACAAATCCTTGAACCTTTAAGCATCAACTCTATGACCTTATATTACATAATACACCGATCTTCATTCATTAATGGCCACTTAACTAGGTTACCCATAAATTGAAGTTATAACCCAAGTCAACTTACGCTTCCATTACGTACATCAAAGGTTCACTTAAGTATAACCTCAATGCAACAAAATAAACTTTCCCATCATTATTTTACGTCAATGTAAATACAATTTCACTACTCTCCGGTAAGCCTACCTTTGTTCTATGTGAGGTAATCATAATCTATTTCCAACTATTTTTGGACAATTACATTAAGAATTTCCTTAATTACCTTAAGATGCCATGTACCATTTTCCTTTTCCTTATCCACCAAAATCCTCCTAATAGCCAACAATCTTTACATCAAGACAAGGATTTTGCCCGTGTTATGAATTGAACCCGTAAGTTCTACATCACACACTTTCATACTTAATTCTTGATTTATCCAAGTTGTCTTCAATTTAAAGATGATTTATATTCAAGTTTCTTGGTCAACCATTGCCTAAGGCTAAACACCTTAAAAGAATTATAACTATCAAACTTTCAAAATTTCTCGACTTGATTATATCATATCGATTCCAATTAATTGACCTATTGTCGAGAGTAAGATCATGGTCACCAGTTACTAACATTATATAATATAATAAATTTCCTTAAATCTCTTAAGATTGGTTCCATACTCGAAATCTTCGAATATATCGAGCATCGCTTAATTATTTAACCTTACTTCATTGGGAATTGTTCCTAGCAAGAGAATACTTAGGTACCTTAAAATACTCATCCCACATCGATTTTCCCAATGAAACTCCTTAGCTAAGTATAATCTTAACTTTTTTGTAAACACCCATGATTTAAGTCTCTTATCATGTGAAGTAATATTCTTTTATCATGCTTTATTCTAATGAGCTTTGAATCAAACATTAATTGGAAACTAGTGTAACAATTTATCACTTTCCATTTACGATTCCATGATGATCTACAATGAAAGTCTAACATTCAAACTCTAAGGGATGACCCAATTATCATTTTACTCCACATTGAGGAAATATTCTCTTTACAATTATAACCATTCCATCTAATTGCAAGATTAAATTTGAAATCTCCGAAAGCATTCTAAAGTTACCATTACCAATAAATAAGTCAAATTTTGAGGCCATCTTAATGCCAACTCCAACATTTGATGCTTAGCTTCTGAGATTTAATTCAAGTCTTCCCTTGACGATAGTCATAACAAGAATTATCTACCATATTGTAACTTAAGCTAACTTTTTTTTATTTAGTTATAAGTATGCCATTGTCTTTTATTAGCTATCTAAACCTTTAATTCCATAACTTCATTCTAAAGTCTCTATTATATATTGAGAGAACAAGATTAAACATGGCACAACCATAAAAGAAATTTAAAGACATTTTACTTAAGTTAACCGCATTTGAGGTCTAAGCACTTTGAGATGAGGATTTCGATACTATGCTTTGTGAGATACTAGCTATATCTTTGCCTTTAGATCCATACTCCTCTTTAATAAGTGAGACTACTATAAGTGAAAGAGTCATGATGGGCTGAGAGATATTAAGGGAAATCCTATGTGACTGTTGAACTTGCGGGCAATCCTTCTTGATATACTTGTATTGTCCATAAGAGTACCAAAGTCCCTTTGCATGGTTGCACTATGCATTGCATCGTTTGTGTCATTTGCCATAGTCAAGGCAAAGAGGTATGGATTTACTACTCTGTTTTGACACCTGCTATGTTCTAGGGATAAAGGTCCTTTGCTTATGCCTAGCACTAGTATTGTTTGGCCTACTCCCGTATATATTGGGATCCATGTACTTGTAGGGCCCTTAAGTAATTTCTCTTCACGTGTCTTGATTGCCCATTAAAGAAACAAAGTGCATGTGCACAGTGACACAACCCTCTGTGTGTCTTACCACAAGTAAAATAAAGTTGTCCAAACACAAGTTGTTGTCA